ACGTGAGTGATTATTCAGTAACTACCACACATCTGAGAGACACACTTATTATTCTCATCCTGCTTCAGAAGAAAAAGTTATAAACACTATATTCTTTAATATTGCAAATTGTCATGCGGGTTACGTGAGGAAAATGAGCACTAATTTCTTTTTTTTTTTTTTTTTTGCTGCTGCATTTTGCTTTTCTGATTTTTTTGGTAAACAGAAAGCAAAAGCTAAAATGAAAATAATTAGTCTTTTGAAGGTATTACTAACTAGAAAATTAGGACTCTATTTTTGACTAGATTTATGTCTTACAAAGCAAATCTCTGCATAATTTAATAGAAAATTGGCAGGAATAGGTCTTCCTTCTAATTTCAACAAAATTAGCATTCAGCTACCTGAAATTTTGGCAGTGATCCAGTATGTTTATCTAAAGCAGTAAGTAGAAAATAAAATTGACAATTGTGCCTAAACAAGTTAGTTTCTCTCTCAAATACAAAAGCATACTTGCAAGCACATGCATGCACGTGCACACACACACACACAAATTTTAAAAAATGAATGAAATTTTCAAAAGTATATTTTATGAATGGATTAACAATTTTTCATTCTTCCTATTACACATATCAACTGCAGACAGAGAAAGAAAACCCCTGCCTTCAATGCACAGAGAACTCTATTGTAATAGTTTGAACAAGAAATGTCCCTTTCTGGCCCTTGTGTTGAACGTGTGGCGTCTGCTGGCGGTAGTATTGTGGAAGGTGGTGTAGACTTTAGGAGGCCCAAGGGCCATGCCTTTGAACCCTCTTCCTTCCTCTCAGTCTACTATCTGTTGTGGGTGAGAAGCCTCTGCTCCACACGCCTGCTAGCACATGAACTACCCTGGACCAGAGCTTCAGGAACTGCGAACTAACACAAACAATGCCGCTTTACAATGTCCATGGCAGGCATCCTGTCACAGGATAAAACTAACGCCGAAAACTGGCACTAGAGAAGTTTCATTGTCACTGCAACTAAACTTAGTCACAAAGTTCTTAAGCCTTTGGAAGTGGGCTGGAGGGGAAATCTGGAAGGGTTTGGATCAATAAACACAGAAGATCAGGATGCCAACAGAGATGAGAGCAGTAGACTGGTCACGAGGCTTTAGGTGGGAACTGGAGTAGAATTCACCTCACATTTTGGCAAAGTATTTGTCTATTTCATCTGTGTCCTGGCACTCTGAGGGAGACTGAGTTTAAAGTGTTGCACCCACTTGTCTGGTCCGTGGAGCAGTTACTGAGCTGCTTTAGCCAGGCTTACAGGAACGACTGGGACAGACAACAGCGCAGAAACAGCTGCAGCTCTTTCAGAAAGGCCCGAGCAATGGGCTAAAGAAGAGACTCGCGCTGTTAAGAAGCCAGGAACCCTTCTGCATGGGGACAAGAGGAAAGATGGCATGGAGTCATTTCAGAAATGAGGGAGCCAGAACATATAGCAGGCTCAGTTGTATAAAAGAAAAACCTCATTTAAAAGACTACCCATGCCTGGGTACCTGAGAAGACTTCCTACCATGCTCAGGTACCCAGACACACAGAGTCCACTAGAACAGGGTCTCACAATAGCTGCCTGGTTGAGAGCAAATAACACAGAGGAGCTGAGAGGTAAATGCAACCACTCAAGAGTGGCGGCAGTGGCCTGTGTTTACGGAACATGGTCAAACTCCCTCCAAGGGTGGTAGGGCCAGACAGGCAATCAAGAGCCAAGGCTTCCTGGCTTGCAATGTTTTTAAACATTTTGAATTAGCTATTGTGATAGTTCACTTTAACTGTCAACTTGACACAACCTAGAATCATCGGTATAGAGAGTATTAATGAGGTATAATCAACACTGGGTTGTGATATTGCTTTGTGTAGTGCCAGAAGTGTCCAACAGTTTTACTGATGGGCTTCTGAAATGTAAAGCCATAAGTAAACAGGGTATGTCTGCTGGAGAGTGTCTAAGTTAACTATTAGCATTAAGGAAGAATTGGTTAACTAGGGAAGACCCAGCCCGTTGTAGGTGGGATATTCCCCAGGTAGGAAGTCCTGAACTGTGTAAGAATGGAGATATTGAGTTGAACGCAAGCAAGGAGCAATTTCCTTCAATTTCTGCCTGTGGGTCTGATGTCACTAGCTCTTTTTAAGCTTCTGCATTGAATTCCCCATATGACAGACTATTACCGGGAGCTGTGACGATAAAACAAATCCTTTGTATTATAAGTTGATTTTTACCAGGATATTTTATCACAGCAACAGAAATGAAAGGACAACTGCCAGGATTTACAAATGTAGAGATTCATTAAAGAAGCAAAACTAAAAACAAACAATCAAAACCCACCCAGATTTCTTGCCTACTACACTGGATTTAGAGTTCCATACCTCCTATGAAATTATGATGAACATAACAGAACATGGGGGCCAGCCCGAGGTAGGTGCACACACCCCACAGTCACCCAAGTACCTCTTGGGATCTGGGCCTGCAGCCTAAGTCTGACACAGACCTATCCCCAGGGTTCTCTCAGGCATCAAGAAGCCAGCACTAGGTTGGCTTCCTCTGAGAAACCACAGCAACTGTACTCTTAGGAAAGCTAAGCTCGCTGTTTTCTATTTACAGTCCCCAGGGAGACCGACAGGCGGCGTCACGACTACACCAGCAGTGTCGTGCAGTCAGACAAACACATTTTCAATATTTGGGTTGAAAAACATAATTTTCAAGTTTAAAAAAAGAACCATTAACTATCTGAGAGAACTCCTACATACATGCCAGTGAAATTTCATTAAGAACATGGGTTATAGGTTATTTCATAAATATTTACCTTCAATATCTTTTCAGATAAGCAATATTTATATGCACATTTTACACAGGAAGCCTCACTGAAAACTACAAAAGGAACTTTATATACCGTCACAGGAGACTGCTAGATTGGCTCCTTTCCCCTGGACTCTTAGAGAGATTTCTCCAAATCAGGTTTAAGAACATAACTAATAGAACATTATAGAACTTAATGAAAATGTCAACCTGTCACCTCCTGAAATATCAGTTAAGTGGAAGCACATGACACCATACTTGTGGAGCAAGAAATTAACCTCAGAACAAATATTCCTGACTCCTTGAAGCTGTATTAAATTCGACACTTTGGGGGGACATGACTAGATTTCATGAAGTAATTGAAATGAACTAATTAAGCCCCCAAAAAGTGCTCCAAAGTAATATTTTACTTAATTTGAGAAAGTGGGAGCATAGTGCTCGATCTGACACAGTAGTGTCTTTCTCCTCTGCTGCTCACACACATGCTCAGTGCTTCTAGTGCCCATAACTGTACAAATCAGTTGTTTTATTCAGCCCTTTTCTTCCCTTCAACACTGCTGTCTAGCTCACATACACAATGAGTCCTTGTACTAATAATTTCTAATGATTATTTGAGAATTTGCTATTTTTCAGACCCATAAGGCTACTTTTCATAGCCATAAGGAAATGTATTCAGAGCCACTGAACACCAGTGGAGCAGGAGGGAGAGGCAGGACACTCAGAATACAGTGTGACAATCAGAGAAGATGTGCTTTAGCTATATAGCCACACCGTCCAAAGGTCACACACCTGGTCACCTCAGCACCCACTCCCTCTTAAACTCTTGGCTCTTGGTCCTAGCCCAGATCCATTTGAAATGCTTCTCCGTGGTCTTGTGTAATATATACCCTCCCTCCTTCTTCCTCTTTTCTTTTGCTTGCTTAGAAACACTGACCATCTTGCCTCAGATTCCTTGGGTCTAGGATTACATGTTCACATCATGTACCTCTATCCCTCTATTTTCCAGACCCCAAGCTGGCTTTGAACTCCTCACTCTCCTGCTTCAGTCTCCCTAGAGCTGGGATTACAGAGGTGTGTCACTGCCCTCGGCTGTCATTTCTAACAACAACTCAACATCCTGCTTGTTTTCTAGCTAACAAGTACTGGATCACCCACCCTCTTTCCTTGAATTCCTTATTAGTATGTTTATCTAAAGTTCCAACAAATATTCACTATGTGCATATTCAATGCCAAGTAATCAAGAAGGTGCCAAAGAGAGAAAACACATTAAATCCAGCGATGATTCCATCTAGTAGGCAAAACACTGCTGGTCTGCAAGTTTCTCCAGAAGACGTTTCTCCCTGGTTGTCACCCAGTAACTCCAATTCTGCCTAAAAAGCTAAGGGTGAATTTGACAAAGCCTGATATTGGAGCCTAAACTCGACTTTCATCCTTTTCTTCTCCAACCTCCCTTCACTCCTTGAGTTACTTCATATCTGGAGTTTTCCATTCAGTTGTAATTACATTTTGTATTGACCACAATGTTTTTCTTCCCACACCTGCTTGTGAAAGCTTGATTTATTTTATGAGAAATATCCCAAGAAGTTCCTTCATGAAGCTTCCAGTCAAATCTGGGTTGTCACCAACATAAATCCCTGCTGCAACCTCTAACTTTATAGGAACACCTGCGCTTACATTATTTATCCACATTGTCCCAGATCAGTAGACTACAAAGTTATCAAGGGCAGAGCCTGTGTTCTAACTTATTTTTGTTTTCTGAACCTGACAGCTCAGATCTATAAATATTTACAAGATAGTTATTATATGCATGGTGTCACATTAAGGGTATAGTGGATGCTCCAATACCCACTAGATGCAACTGAATTTAGAACATGTCATCTGATAGCTTTCTAATAAAAGATGCTTGGGAAATGAATGTTTTCAGACAATGTATGTTTGAAATGTCCATATTCTACCTGTGGCTGAATACAGAACTTAAGGTTGAAATGACTTCATCCAACATTCTGTTGGATGGCATAGCATCATTGTCTTCTTGTCTCCTGTCCTCCCAATCCCGTCCCACATACACTGCCATTCTTCTAATCTCTCATGTCTTCTAATTTCACAGTGATGTGCTTCAGAAACCTCAATCTGAGTGGGAAACAGTCTCAGCTCAGTGACAGCCTTGCAGGAGACCTGAAGCTTTCTTTTAGGCATAATAAATGATAAGCCAGACTTCTTGGAAGTGGAGATATTTGACAAATTGAGATTAAAGGGAACTAATACTGAAGAGAAAGACTTGTCACAGGAAACCATCCAGCAGGAGAACGTGCAAACATCGTAAAATAAGGATCTCCTTCCAAGGGCAAACTTCAATACTGCCTAGGAATCTTGTTTTAGGCTAGTTTTTGTGTTTAATTTCTTTAAAAAAATTTATTTTATGTGTATTAGTGTTTGTCCACATTCATGTCTGTGTGAGAGAGGGTGCTGGATCCTGTGAAATTGTAGTTACCGACAGCTGTAAGCTGCCATATGGGTGCTAGGAATTGAACCGGGGTCCTCCGGAAGTGCAGCCAGTGCTCTTAATTGCTGAGTCATCTCTCCACTCCCTTAGGATAGTTTTGTAAACATGTGTTTATAGAGATTTTTGGCATTTACTAATGGTTTCTCACTTACGCTACCTAAGAGTAGTAGGCAATGCTGCTTAAATTTGTTTTCACACTTATCACTGGTGTGTGAATCCCACTACAAATAATCCCATTGCCAGCTATGGTAGCTTGAATGAGAAATGTCCCTGGAGTCTTAGGTATTTAAATGTTGGTTCCTAGTTGATGGTGCTTTTTGAGAAGGCTTAGAAGGTGTGACCTTGTTGGAGGAAGTGTGTCACTTGTTGGCTTTGAGTGGGACTCTTGTCACTACTAGTCCATGCTCTCTTTTGCCTGATGGAGGCTCAAGATGTGAGCTGTCAGCCGTTCTGGTCGCCTGTGCCACAATGAACTCTTATTTCTCTGGAACTGTAAGCCAAATAAATTCTTCCTCCTATAAATTCCCTTGTTGTCGTGTTTCATTACAGTAACAGAAAAGCAATGAAGACACAAGCTTTGGTGAATGTTGTCCTTCACCTTAACAAGGCAAGCCACCATTACAGGCCATGGGCACCTCTATTGCTTCATACTCTTTATGAAGTTCCAAGCTTGTGCAGCTCCCCAATTTTTATTTCTAATGTAACACTATCTTAAAAATGTGTTTTAGTGTGCATTTATATTCTTTCATAATTGTGGTACCTTTAAGCCTCTTTCAATATCCTTTAATTCTGAGAATTTTCTTGTACTACTTTTTCCACAATTATATGTTCTTAGATTTCACTGTTTTGTCTTCCTGGACAACTTTCTAACTGGCTATAGGGCCACATGAATTAATTAATTCTGTGCTTTCCTAACACCATGTTTCCTATTAGTCTTCTCTTTATATAAGTACTCAGATTTCCTTCACTATATCTTCAAACTCCTCTGTAGAACTTTTTTCTTTTGCTTATTAATATTTTTCAACTCCAGCATTTTTCTTGCTCTTTTATTGCTAGTTCCTATTTCTGCTCTTATCTCTCTGAAGACATATGTATGTATGACATGCCAATCCACAGAAATCTTTTTCTCAACTCTAACTCACTGACATTTGATCCTTAATCATATAATGCTTTAAACTGTTTTAACAATTCTGATTTATCTCTCCAACTAGAAGGTCCCAGAGACAGCATCTCATAGCTTTTTGCCTAATATATTGTGGAGGGAAGGAGGAAGTGGGGGAGAAAGGGAACGAGGAAGACAGGTAGGGAAGGGGAAAGGCACATAAGAAGAAGGGAGTGAGGGAGGGAGGGAGCAAGAGAGGAGGGGAGGAAAGGAGGAAGGAAAAGAAAGAGGGAGAGGAAGGGAAGCAGGGAGGGAGAGAGAAAGGAAGGATTTCCTTGTTTGACTTGGGGTCTCACTGTGTTACTTAGGCTGACATTGAAGCTTGGGCTCAAAGGCTCCTTCCACTTTAGCCTCCCTAGTAGCAGAAGACAAGCAAGGCTTGCTTTCCTTCAGGAAAGTTATTGTGTAGTGTTTCATGCCCAAAGTCTTCTAAGAGATGGGTACATAACTATCACATCTATAGAATACATCATATTTTGCTGTCTTTTGTTTGGATTTACTAACAATTTCAATACCATGTTTAGGATCATGTCATCTTCTCATCTTCATGAACTATTACCATACTAGTTTAAGACACCTCTCTCTCAGGTCTTGGGGCTTCCATATGGGAGCCCTTGCAGGTGACAACCAGAGTAAGTTCCAAGATCCAGTTCCTCCTATAAGTGCAGGTACCTGCAACCCCAACTTACAGCACTATGTGAAGCAGGCAGCAGCAATCTTTCTTACTATGTTTTCCCTGTCTTACTGGTTCAATTCCAGTTATATCTTTCTCCTGTGCTTCCAATGAGCTGCACTTCAGTCTTAAGATCTTTGACTATGTGCGCCCTTTGTCTATGCAACTAGTCTGACATATGGTTATGATCATATCAAGACTTCTCCCTTATTTTCTTCAAGGCCCTATTTAATTCTCATTTATCAGAGACCTTCCTGAACAGCCTAATACAGTAGCTCCATTAGTCACTGGTACCTTAACCTAGCTTTTGTTTTCCATTTTCTCTCTTTCTTCCTCTTCTCCTTCCTCTTCCTGTTCCTCTTCTTTATCTCTCCTTCAGTTCCTTCCACTTATGTTGAGTTAGGTCTCATGTACCCAAGGCTAGCCTCAAACTTGCTATACAGCAGAAAATAACCTTGAACTCCTGATCATCCTGATTTACCACCCAAGTAGTAGGATTACAAGGCTGGGACCCTATCCCCCAGATGTTATTTTTCAGTATCTGTTACCTGCCAGTAACGTTTAGCATTTTGTCTAGAGCATAAGCTTGTTAAGAAAGGGACTGCCTTTGTCCACTGAGTACTTTCAGCTCTGAGCACATGCCCGCCTCTGAGCTGCCGCTAAGTGAGCGACTGTGAAACAAGAATACTGGCTAGCTAGCACATTACTACAAGCAGCACTTGAGGCCAGTGAGCACACTGCTACACACACACTTGACATTTAACAGCAACATTTACTTCTCAAGAGTATCACAGATAAGGAAGGAATGGCAACTGAGCTTCTTTGACCCTAAGGTGCCATCTCTTAGAAGACACATTTATTTCACATCCCAGTAGAGAAAGCCCTGACACAAGGCATTTGCACTTAATAATGTTTTCAGATTTGCTTAGAGATTCTCAAGGTATCACTCCCCAAACCACAAAAGCTATAATAAGTTGCACAGATTGGCACTAGAACTTTTCAAGTCTCTAATTCTGCTGGGTTACTTTGCAGTCCTGAGTGTCAAACTCTATGCTTTCCCACAGAATCCATTTGTACATGATCAAGGGTGTGGAAAAGGCAGTGTTTTATGCTCAGTGACTAACTCTAGGACTTTCCTGCAAACCAGTGACGAACACTCTACAGCTCTGGTCCATGGTGCAGGTGGTGACAGCTAGGTTAGGAGAGCTGTCAGGCAGTGACTATGTGGAGCATCTGAATTTACAAATACTGAAAGGAAAAAAGTGCTTCTTTTCAATATGTAACAGTCAAAGGAAAGGTTCGCTGGGTGTAGACACTTTTAATTTGTGCTGGATATTCATATGTATTATTTCCTCCCTCCCTTTGAGGATTATAACAGAGTCATGCCTAGAGACGCAGAAAAGGTAGCACTGATGTGCATGTGAGTGTGTATGTGTGTGTAAACAGCAAGGACATTTTACTGTCAGTTGCCACAGTGCACAGGGAAGTACACAGTGGGGGGGGGGGGGGGACACTCCTGGCCCAGTTCTGCTCTCCAGTCCTAAGTGAGGTTTCATTAGAGCTGGCAACGACACTTGGCTATTCACTGGACATTTTTGTCCCGGAAGCAGATGAGACAGCACTACCATGTCAGGAAAATGTATAAGGCATGACTGGCACCTGGAGCTTGTTCCGCCATACACCTGTGATCTGCAATTCCTTCCATGGGGTCACTTCTATTTTCAGGGAACTCGGATTTTATGAAGCCAAATGCCTGAGGTGTTCGTACCCTCAGAGATAATGTCTGGGAACACCTTCTGGAACAGTGTGTAAATAACATTGACTACCGAGAGGTGAAGACAGTCCTGAAGACACTACAACCTCCATTATTTGAGAGGCATCAGTCATTCTGGTTTTCTGTAAATTACCTCCACCCCTTGTTTTAAGCAACTTTCAAATGCAAAGGAGTTAACCAGAACTGGGACCTCTTCCAGGCTTGTTCCTTCAATAGTAAGTACAGTCTAAATCAACGCCAGTTACACATTTGTATTTTGGCCAAAGTGTGACATTAACAAAATTGCTCTTCATATTCAAGATTACACTAAGCTAGAGAATACACATGTTTCTGTTTCACCGGTGTTCTGGTTGCACAGTCACGACATGCAAACACAAATCGACTGTCCTCCTCCTTCTCACATCCTCTCTCTATCTCTTAACCTTTATATGCCACAGAAGATATTTAGTCAGTACTTTAGGTTTACACCTTCTGATGGACCTGCAACCAGTGAGGATGCTCGTCTCCTAGAAGGTGGGATGCAAGCACATCAGTTTGCCCATATTCAAAGAGTGAAAAAGGAAATTTATTATTCTAGGTGACAGCTGATACCATTTTAGTATACAAATCTATTCTGTACACCTTTGAACAGGATTAATGGCCATGCTAGCTAATAGAGGTACTTCTTACTCTCCAAAAGTGCAAAAGCTTTATGAGAAAGGGAAGATGTTATGAGTGGCAGAGTGAAGAAAAATGAGGTTAGTAAGAAAATACTGTAGATAATTGAATATTATTTCATTTTTTCCTCAAAAATAAATTATATTTCTCATATTGAAGGTGTTTCTAAGTAATTTTTTAGTACTCATAGTTTCCAAATGGTAACGACAGCACAAATCCATACAGATTCTGTATATCCATATATAGTTAAATAATTTTCTTGGATAATGAACATAAAAAGTATGTGGAAAATATATTCTGAATCCATACATGTAAAGTCCACACTGTCCAAAGACCTAGTGCATTCCTGTGACTTCATCAACTGCAGTGTACTATAAACAACCCATCTGCGCTTCTATCTTTTCCAGGGAGCTAAAGGCCATACAACCAAACTCTGAGTGGTAGGGGCTGCACAATCATACACCAGCTGCCCTTAAATGCCTGTGCAGCAGCTGTAGCAAGCATCCAATCTTTATACTCACTGACTGATGGCCTAAAACTATTTTATGTCATCA